TGAGAGAATCAAAGGAATGTGGTATATATGAGACAAGGTGGGAGATTGCATTTGCTTATTCAGTACATCCCACAGAAACTCGGGCCCCATAAATTAGCATGAAGACCAAGTCAGGAAGTCATTCCTGCCATTGTACTATTCAATTCCCATTTAACCCTTGATTTGGGTCCTAGTCATGAGTAGGCAATGGCATAATAGTGATACCATTGGTATAATAATCCAGAATCCCAGGCAACTTTTTTTGCGCATGTACTTTCAAATCTCTCTGCAAAAATTTGAATTCAGTACTTTCTGGAATTATACGCTTTGTACAACTATTGTAATAAAAGCCCTTCTGGTTCAGTAATATCCTTTAGGGAAGGAAATTTACCATCCTTAAGTGTATCCAAACCCACAGCATTATGATCAACCCTTAACTTTAAGGAGAAGCTAGACAGATATTTGATTAGTAGCCTGTTGAAGTGTTATATAGAGAGGGCAGGAAATTAGAGATTAGGCTGGCTTCAGAAAAGATTTCCGTGGATGTTGCCAGGTTTGGAGGGTTTGAGCTATAGGCAGAGGCTGAATAGGCTGGGGCTACTTTCCCTGGAGTGTCGGAGGCTGAGGAGTGACTTTATAGAGGTTTATAAAATCATGAGGGACATTGATAGGGTAAATAGCCAATGTCTTTTCCCCAGGGTAGCAGAGTCCAAAACTAGAGGGCATATGTTTAAGGGGAGAGGGGAAAGATTTAAAAGGGACCTAAGGGGCAACTTTTTCACACAGAGGGTGGTGCGTGTATGGAATGAGCTGCCAGAGGAAGTGGTGGAGGCTGGTACAATTATAACATTTAAAAGGCACTTGGATGGGTATATGAATAGTAAAGGTTTAGAGGCATATGGGCCAAATGCTGGTAAATGGGACTGGATTAATTTAGGATATCTGGCTGACATGGATGAGTTGTACCAAATTGCTGTCTCTCTCTATGACTCTGTGAGATTAGACATGATTGCATCAAATAGCAGACAGGCTCGAGGAGCCTCATGGCCTACTCCTGCTCTTATATTCTTATGTTTTCACTGCTCTCTAGGCAACTAAAGTAGAATAGCAATTTGTAAGTCATAGATAAGAAGGAAAAAAATAGTGAAAGTTAAGGCAAAGTTCATCTCAGATCGGTTTTCAGATTGGGGAAAGCTTATCAAAATGATGAAAGCTGGAATTCCCGGAAGCCAATGCCGAACATGGCTTCCATGCTGGGATGAGACTGTCACACTGAGACTGCTTCTTGGGGACAAGGTGATCTGTGCCAGGCTGAGACTGCCATGCCAGGACAAGATCTCCCACTGGGAATACCCGGAACGAGACTGCCACACTGGGCCATTGGAATATCTGGAAGCCACTGTTGATGAGGAACTCCACACAAGGACAAAACTGCCAAACCAAGACCACCCCTCCGGGACAAGGTGACTGCTGTGCCAGGCAGAGAGTGCCATGCTGGGACGAGGCTGCCCACCAGGCTGCTGGAAGGAGATCTTCGCACCAAAGCAGACCTCCACACAACGCCAAGACTGCCGTGCTGTGCTGTTGGAAGGCCCAGAACCCGAGACTGAATAAGACTTTAACGCCAGTACAAGACCCACATGCCGGGACAACAGTGCCAAGCCGAGAATGAGCCTCCAGACTGAGGCAGGCACGCCGGGTCATCGCTGGGCCCAGACCACCATGTCGAGCTGGAATCCTCCTTGTCATGGGCCCAAGCCAGGAGAACGCACCTTCTGCCCGAGCCGTTTGAAGAGGCAGGATGATAAATGGAAGCATTTTTCAAAAACAGGGAACAAAAACAAAAGCAAAATCCACATAGAGTAGATGAGCTCTGGGCTCCTGGGCTACGGAGGCCTCTTGCTGTGCTGCTATTTCACCGCCATTTTGACTTCAATTCGATGTGGGTAATAAATACCGGCCTCGTGAATGAATATTTAAAAAATAGTCATCAGCCTATTTCTCAACTCCAGTCACAGCCAGTCAACGTGGGTAAGTTACAGGAGAGAATTGGTGAGCTGTTTGTATTCCATAACTCAGCCAAACTGATGACATTAGTTTGAATTGGAAGCAAGGATGATGTCATGGAGAGTTTAATAATTATCTGACCACTGTGACACAATTCACCCATAATTACCGACAGGAAGTAACGCTTCATAATCAGACAGGAACCTGTGCCAGAGGACTGGAAAACTGCTAACATTACACTGTCGTTCAAAAAATTTCGTAATGATCGGTTCTGCAATTTCAAACCAGTCAGTTTAACTTCAGGAGTGGGGAAACGTCGAAAAACAGTTCTTCAGAATGGAATTAATAGTCAAGCAGAAAAATGTGGCTTGATTCAGTGAAGTCAGCATGGATTTGTTGAGGGAAAATTGCGTCTAACTAAATTGCTGGTATTTTTCAAAGGGGTAACAGAGAGGATTGCTGAGGATAGCATTGTCCATGTGGTGTACATGGATTTCCCAAATGTGTTCAATACAGTGCCACATGACAGGCTAGTGAGGAACGCAATGGATCATGAGGAAAAATAAGAAATAGCAACACCGTGGAATCGAAATTGGCTGAAATGTAGGAAAGAAAGGGTAATTTCAATAGTTTTGTTTAAGCTGGAGGAAGATTTGTACTGGAGTTGCTCTCACGTCAGTATTGGGACCCTTGCTTTTTTCTGATGTGGGGGAGGCAGGTTCACCTGAGGTATTCAAGAAAGGCATCGGGTGATTATTTAAACAAAGACAAAATGCAGGGCTCTAGGGAAATGTAGGAACTTGGCACTAAGTCAAAATACTCAGAGATTTGAACACAATGGGCTGAACAACCTACTTCTGCACTGTAACAATTCAATGGTTCTGTGATTCTGAGACCATTCATAAGTTTACTCTATCCACTTAATTTAACCCTATGATCATAACTTTCCCTTCCTCTCCTTGCCTTTGCCCAGCTTCATATTAAATGCATCTTTGCTACTCACATCAACTACAGTAAGAGATTGCAAATGCAACAGTCTAACCATTCTCTCTGCAATGCTCCTGAATTATTTACTGGATCCATTAGTTCTGTCCTCTTGTTTTGGATATGGCTGCAAGTGGAAACAGGTTTATTTAATAATGGGAGGTACTGGCAAGGTTGGCATTTATTGCCAATCTCTGATTGCCCTTGAGAAGATGGTGGTGAGCCATCTTTTTAAGCCATTGCTATCTTTGGGATGTAAGTAGACCCACAGTCCTATTAGGGGCAGCATTCCAGGACATAGATCCAGTTACACTGAAGAAATGGTGATAGAATTCCTAGCAGGAAGAAGTGTGACATGGAGAGAACTTGCAGGTGTTGGTGTTTCTTAGGATTTGCTGGTATTGTCTTCTGGATGGTAGACTCATGAGTTTAGAAGGTGCATTTAAGGGTTTGTTGAGTTTCTTGCATGAGGTACATCTGCCAATGTGTGCTGGTGGTGGAGGGAATAAATGTTTAAAGTGATGGTTTAAAAGACTGCTTTATCCTGAATGTTATCAAGGTTCTTCAGTGCTTTTGGAGCTCACTTTCATCCAAGTAAGTGGGGAATACACATTCCTGACTTGTGTCTTGGAGATGGTAGGTAGACTCTGGGGAGCCAGGACATGGGTTACTCCCCACAGAATTCCCAATGTGCTCCTATAGCCACAGTATCCATCTGGTGAGTCCAATTCAGCTTCTGATCAATGGTGACCCCAGGATGTTGATCATGAGGGATTTGTCAATGGCAACACCATTGAATGGCAACAGGAGATTGAAAACTTTGTTTGGTGGGTTTGGTCATTGTTTGGCACTTGTGTGGCATGACTGTAGTTTGCTTCTAATCATGTCAAGCCTGGATGTTGTCTGGGTCTTGCTGCATGTGATCATAAGCTGCTTCAGTATCTAAGAAATTGTCAATGATATTGGAGCACTAATATGAACATCTCCAATTCTGACCTCATGCTGAGGAAGATCACAAGTGAAGCAGGTTAGGCTGAAGGAATCCCTGCAGTGGTGTGCTGGGGCAGAGATGACTGATATTATTGGCTTGCTCACTGAGCTGGCTGGTTATCGTATAGATGTTTCATCACCATCAGTGTTGCCTCCAATGAAGCGACGTTGTTCTACTCCGTTTGGTATTTATATGATCCGGCCTGTCAAGTTGGGTTGTGTCATTTCTGGTTCTGTTCTGCATGGGTTTGTGTATGGGGTCGAATTCCACAATATTTGTTGATTCCATTATGGATTGAAAACCAGGCCTCCAGAAATTCCTGTGTGTGTCTGTGGTTGGCTTGAGCTAGGATGGTCACGATCCACGGCCAGAGCAATCATAGAATCCCTACACTGTGGGACAGGCCACTCGGCCCATCAAATCCACACTGACCCTCTGAAAAGCATCTCACACAGACCCAACCTCCTCCTTATCCTTGAAACCCTGCATTTCTCATGGCTAATCCACCCAGTCTGCATATCCCTGGACACTACAGGACAATTTAGCATGGTTAATCCACCTAACCTGCACATCTTTGGACTATGGGGGGAAACCGGAGCCCCCAGACGAAATTCATGCAGACATGTGAAGAATGTGCAAACTCCACACAGACAGTTGCCTGAAGATGGTATTGAAGCCAGGTCCCAGGTGCTATGAAGCAGCAGTGCTAACCACTGAGCCTCTGTACCGCCCCAAGGTTAGTTTTAAAAGGATTCCACCCTTGTGGATGCCTTTCTGCAACGCCAAATACATTTTTGTTTTAAAATGAGCCAACTTAACCACACATTCTTCAATTAATAAAAGAGCGAGTTTATTAGTTACCAGACACAAGAAGAAAGAAGATGACTCACATAAAGACAGATTGGGAATGAGAACAGCGTACAAAAAAAAAGGAAGTTTAAAGATATATGGATGATATCTAAATGTCTCCTGAAGAATAGATAGTGGAACTTTGATAGTTGAGACAGTTTTTAACCCTCTTTTTTCTGCATATTCCTAGAATGGCAAAACATGCAAAAAGACTTCAAGTGGTGGCTATCTGCTGAAGTGGAGGAGATGAACTTCCCATGTTATCTATTTCTGTTATGGCTTTTTCTTTGAAGTTTTCCTGACCCTTTACAGGAATGACATTCCATGAGTTCCACACAGGACTTAGCCAGACAGAAGTGAATTCACATCCACGATCTTTTTGTTTTTTGTCTGTTGTAGTCGTCTTATTAAAAACATGTTTTGGAACTAAACGTTGAAAATGTTCCTGGTACTTTGAGATCTGATTCATTGTCATGACAGTCTGGTCACATGAAGAAATAAAGTATGCCAGCAGTGACACATTCCTCAATGTTTGCCATCTGTTGGGAAGTCTTTGAATGTATCTGTGCTGATGCTACAAGTTAGACTTCTGACCACTCAATCCTTGGCAGGCTGCACTATGATGCCAGGCAAATATTAGCTTTCAAGTCACAATGTTCTACCTAATAAAATGGATTGACACAGAACCAGCATCTGCTTGTGCAGTTTCTGATTCAAGACCCAAACACATGCGAGAGGGAGAAATCAAAACCAGTATCCATGCACTAAACCAACTCTTGTGTAAAACATGTTTTACATTTTACATTTTTTAAATTTACATTTTTTAAAAGGGCAGAGCATTTGTTGCTTTAATCAGCAGTCTATTATGATAGTAAAATGTAGGGTATTCAGGGTATTTTGATCTTAGGAGGATAATAAGTGGGCACAACATCGTGGGCCGAAGGGCCTGTACTGTGCTGTACTGTTCTATGTTCTATGTTCTATTCCACAACTGTCAGTGGAGAGACCTTCTATTCCCAAGACTACTTTGGGATCTGACTGCTTTGTAAAGTGAGCTGAAAATATCAAATCCAATTCCAAACTGACAAGGTGATGCGTCGATTCAGAGATAGTAGGAACTGCCGATGCTGGAGAATCTGAGATAACAAGGTGTAGAGCTGGATGAACACAGCAGGCCAAGCAGCATCAGAGGAGCAGGAAAGCTGACGTTTTGGGTCTGGACACTTCTTCTTCAGAAAGAAGGTGATACTTCGGTTGCCCAGAATATGGATAGACCATGCTCCCTCCCCCAACCCCCCTCAAACAAGTGAAGAAACTGTATTCAGTTTTGGTTATAGAGTCATAGAGCCATAAAGCCATAAAATACGGAAACAGACCCTTTGGTCCAAACAGTCCATGCCGACCAGGTTCCCAAACTAAACTAACCCCACCTGCATGCGCTTGGCCCATATCCCTCCAGATCTTTCCTATTCATGTACTTATTCAAATGTCTTTTAAATGTTGTAACTATACTAGCATCCACCACTTCCTCTGGCAGTTCATTCCATGCACGAATCACTCTCTGTGTAAAAAGGTTGCCCCTCATGTTCTTTTTAAATCTTCCTCCTCTCACCTTAAAAATATGCTCCCTCGTTTTGAACTCCCCCACCCTAGGGACAAGATCCTTGTCATTCACCTTATCAACGCCCACCCTGATATTATAAACCTCAATAAGGTCACCCCTCAACCTTCTGTGCTCCAGTGAACAAAGCCGTCATCTTTCCAGTCTAATTTTATAACTCAAATCCTCCAGTCCCGGCAACATCCTGGTAAATCTTTTCTGAACTCTCTCCAGTTTAATCATATCCTTCCAATAGCAGGGCGACCAGAGCTGCACACAGTACTCCAGAAATCACAACATGACTTCCCACCTCCTATACTCAAAGGTCTGAGCAATGGGGGCAAGCGTGCTAAATGAATTCTTAACCACCCTGTTTACCTGTGATGCAAATTACTGCTGCCGTGAAATTTTTTGGATGAACTTTTGGGCCAGGAGTTTTCCCAACTGAAGCAGTGTAGATAATTTCAGGAATCCATGAAACGAGCATTGAAGTGAATCAGCAGTGAAACCACACCGTTTTTTGTTCAGCAGTATCTGTTGTATTCTATAGATCAAAGGTCCGTAAGCCACTTTGACAGCTTTTCTGAAAAGGTAGGTGAGGGGATATGGAAGTCAGGTGGATGAAAGGTTTACAGTAAGAGGTGTGTGTTTGTGGAGGGGGTAAAGATTAAAGTGCCAAGTGGGTGAAAGTGTACAGGTACCAGGTGGTAAGGAGCTAGGTTAGCAGGTAAGTGGTAAAGCTAGAGTGGGTCAGGGGTTGAGTCTGGAAAACATTTGGGTAGTGTGAGGACAGGTCAGGTTGGGTCAGGAGGGAGTTGGGGGTTTGAGAGTAGTTTAGGATTGAATGGTAAGGCCAGTTGGGTGCATTGGATCAGATTAGGAAGGATGTGTCTGGTGGTTATAGGGGAAAACTGGAGGGTGGTGGTGGTTGGGAGTTGGGTTGATTTGTGAGTAGGGTCCATGGGAAATTGGGGTCAGGTTGAGAAGGGAAATGCAGTTCCTACTATCTGAGAAGGGAAATGTTGGGTCAATGGTGATGGGGGGAATCGGGGTCGGGTCAGGGGCGATTGCTTGAGTCAGAGGGCACAGGGTGTCTGTGGGGTACGAGAGGAATCAGTATTTTTATATAGCTAGGAATGAGAGCAGGATTCTAACTTCCTAATATTTCCTGGCCAGCTGTTTATGTCAGTAAGTCAGAACCATCAGAGACTTCGATTGTAACTCAGATTGTGGGATACTTTTGGAGGTTTGGAGATGCCAGGTAATTGCTCGTTGGAAGTTTCAACTTCCCAGGAAATTCCCAGCTGGACTGGGACCTCTACATATTTCTACCTTTAGCAATGACTATTTTCATATCTGAAGATCTGGGCTCAAGCATTTCAGTCACATTTCTCATTCACTAACTTAGAAAATATAAAGAAACATTTCCAAGTTGCATTGGGGTACAGTAATCAGCTTCTTAGTAAATCAACACAGGAATTGTGCCCCAACAAGTAAATTAATTTGGAGCTTCCTCAAAGGCCTGCAATTGGCAGGAACTTGCATTGGTTATTAGTTCAATCTAGTGAGTGAGAGAACATGATAATTTGGGACCTGCTTCCTGAACCATAGCTGAGGCAGGACTGACTATAGAGGAGTGCAACAAAGGTTTACCAGACTGATTCCTGGAATGGCAGGACTGACGTATGAAGAGAGACTGAATCAGTTAGGACTATATTTGGGGCCTGAAATGGTGGCCGAATGGCTAAGGTAATGATTTAGAAATCCATTGGGGTTTCTCCGCGTAGGTTCGAGTCCTACCAACTATGTTTCCTCAACTTGAAAATTTAGGTTGGCACGGTGGCTCAGTGGTTAACATTGCTGCCTCACAGCACCAGGAACATGGGTTTGATTCCACTCTTGGGCGACTGTCTGTGTGGAGTTTGTACATTCTCCCCATGTCTGCGTGGGTTTCCTCCCACAGTTCAAAGATGTGCAGGCTAGGTGGATTGGCCATGCTAAATTGCCGATAGAGTTCAGGGATGTGTTGATTAGGGGGATGGGTGTGGGTGGGATGCTCTGAGGTTCGGTGTGGACTTGTTGGGCTGAAGGGCCTGTTTCCACACTGCTTGGATTCTATGATTTATATTCACTGGAGTTCAGAAGACTGAGGAGGGATGTTGTAGAAACCTATAAACTTCTAACTGTACTAAGCAGAGCAAACGCAGGAAGGATGCTCCTGCTGACCAGAGGGTCCAGACCACAATGTCAGTCTAAGGAACTGACATTCCTTAGAATGGGGTAGGTCATTTAGGACTGAGATGGAGGGAGAGTGCTGTGGAATTCTCTGCCATCGAAAGTGGTTGAGGTCAAAATGTTGTATGATTTCAAGAAGGAGTTAGATATCGTTATTAGGATCGAAGGGTATGGGGGAGAAAGCAGGAACAGGGGACTGGGTTGGATGATCAACCATGACCATACTGAATGGTGGAGCAGGCTCGAATGGCCTATTCCTGCTCCTATTTCCTATGTTCCTAAGTGGGACTCCAATGTCTTAGCTGCCCCTTTAAGGAAAGAGGTTTCCATGATATCTGATGATCTTGTACCGGATCCTGGATCACTTCACAGCCTTCTGTGAGATGAAATTTCTTGTCAGAGGAATGAGTCATGACAGCATCCCCAGGACATGGCAAGCATGTGCGAAGATTTTTCTTTTCCTGGCTCTCACCCTCACTGCAAGTTGCTTGAATGATGGCCTTTTTGGTTGGAGGAAATGATTTCATTCAGGAAGGTGCACTCAAGGGTGTCAATCAACAACTGCTAGCAGCTCGGGGGTTCAGCAAGAATATATCAGCTCCTACAGCTCCTGTGGTCGTTACATTTTCCACAAATTTATTTTCAATTTATCCGTACGGTCTCACCCCCTCCCTTTTACTGTCATCTCTGCCAGCGCTAAAATGGATGCACTAGATGCTGACTGAGCTAATGAAACCCATATCCTAAAATGAGTTATAAAACAAAATCTCCCAAACTCTCTGATTCCAGCATCTCGTACATCCTGCTTCTTCTATCCCCCACTGTCAGCCATTCCTTCAACCACCCCAGCGCCATGCTCTAGAGTTCCCTCCTCAAGTCTCTCCATTTTTCTTCTTCTGTAAGGCTCAACTTTGATCAATTTTCTAACATTTCCTTCTTTTGTCTTAGCGTCCATTTACCTCCGAGTTTGATTGACGGGCAGAGCTTTGTTCACACATAATGTTGCATCATGCTGTCCAGCATTGTTCTCTCCCACTGTCCAACGTGCTTCCTGACATTTTCCAATCAATATTCGGCTGTTAGTATATGACACAGATACATTGCTGCTGCTCCAAACAGGCCCACATCATTATACTGTCACTGTCACAGGTCCTGCAGAATGATGTGTCCCTACACATAGACAGCTGCTTGCTCAATCCATTCAGAAATGCAGAGAAACTCTGTGGGACTATACCCCTCCTTTATCTCTCTGCTAGAAGGCAGGTTTGAAAGGGTTCGATCGGGTCACAGGAGGATACAAACGCTTTTTGGAGAACAGCTTTAGCAGAGTTGCTTCCGGCCAGGATGTCTCTGCCCAACTTTCTAAGGAAAAACACATTTAGGAAGAAAATGATTGAAAGTTGTAGCCCAAAGAGAGATCATTCAACCCATTGCTGTTATACTAGCCCCATTCCCTAATTTCTTTATCATCTTACCTCATAAGACTTGACCATTTCTTATTTATGATGAGCCATAAGGGCTCCAAAGCCATTTAAAAATGGTTGTTGGGACCAGATTCTGGGATTCCCACCTCCATACCCAGTGCCCCCCCCACCA